GGGTGCCGTCGGCCAGACAGTGCCGGCTGGCGACCCCAAGGGGGAGGGCCTTCTCTGTGGGAGCTCCCACCCTCTGGAATGAACTACCCCCAGAGATCAGGGTGATCCCTGATCTCCCTTCCTTCCGCCGCGCCCTTAAGACATGGTTATTCCAGCTTGCAGGACTGGCCTAGGGGAAAATTTTTAGTGGGGGTTTTAACATAATTTTAAATTACTTAGACCAATTATGAATATTTGTTTTTTAATTATGTTTTAATCTGTAGTTTTGATATTTTGTATTTTTATCTGGTTGTTAGCCGCCCTGAGTCCGCAAGGAGAAGGGCGGGATATAAATATAAACAATAAATAAATAAATAAAAATGCAGTTTAGCCTCTGCAGAAAACTCAACTCATCAGCTTCACTGTTGCCAATGTTGCTTTGGGTCCAACAACAGTTAGAGGATTAATTATTGAATGAATTAAAAAAAATGTTTACTAAACCACTCAGAGTTAAGCCTAAGGGCAAATAAAATGCAGCCATTACACGATTGCTCAACTTGGAGTCCAAAGACAACTGCCTTGAAGTTGGAAACAAAAAGGAATCAACTAAACCCTGGCCTGGATCCTACGACCAATGGCTGTTGTTAAGGTCCAGAAAATGAAAGGCTGAACTGAATGCATAAACAACGATCATTTTCAAATTTTCAGAAGGATGGGGCCAGAGAGAAATTAAACTAAGCTTCCTACTCATCATACAAAATTGCAGCTTTTTGTTTGTAAAATCTGGAAATTCCATTTACTAAAAAAGACAAAAGAAGCGTCCAAAAATACACTTATTCAAGTGTGCCACTGTGGTTAGAAAACTAGAGCCGTCTTTCAACTTTTCGATGCCAGTTAAGAAGCAGAAATCCTACCAGCTCTCTTCCTTTGACAGTAGTAGTAGTCTTGGTAGTCCAGACCTGGATTTTGTGCAGGCACATTTAAGGCTTTCAAGGTGCATTCGAGGGTTAAAGGGAGTTTAGGGCAGGGGCAGGCAACCTTGGCTCTTTTATGACTCGTGGACTTCAATTCCCAGAATTCCTGAACTCTGGGAGTTGAAGTCCACGAGTCATAAAAGAGCCAAGGTTGCCTGCCCCTGGTTTAGGGGAAGGAGCAATGGCTATCCCAGAAACCTACTGTGAGAATGAAAAGAAACAGATACAGCTTCTATTTCAACCCTTTTGCAAATTTGCAACAGGTTGCTTGTCTGTAATAAATTGCTGGTCAGAGCTGCATTTTTTCTCTCAGATGGCAGAAATGCAATCATGCGCCTGGAGGAGGGCACCAGCAAAAATTTCCCAACCTTCCCAGAAAATGGGAGGCTTTCAAACAGTAGGAAAAGCGCACAAATCCGGGATCTGCCCAAAGGCCGGTCGAGTCACGAAGAGCAGCCGAAGAGGAAAAACAGGTTGCCCTGAGCAGCAAAGGGGCGGGCGGGCGGGCGAGCGGGCGGGGGCGGAGAGAGTTTAAAGGCCCGCCAAACTGCTCTCGGCGCCCAAGATTTGGGAGCGCTTCGCCATGGGTGGTTGGCTTCTTCTCCTCGTCGCCGGCAGCCTCTGGGCGAGCTGCGGGGAAGGTAGCCGCCCGACGTGCGATTATCCGCCGCAACTTTGGTGCAGTTCCAAAGAGATCGCCCAAGCCTGCCAGGTAAGCGGAAGGGTGGCCGGACTGCACGCTTATAGCTCGTTTGCACGAAGCACGGGGCGGCTTCAAACTGGGTGCTTTGCAACCTCAGGCTGCAGAAGTCTGCTTGTGTTTTTTTTTTCTCTGCTAGCCTCCCTTAAACGATCCCCGAAAAGTTCCAGCCCACGCGTCTTAAAAAGTTTCCAAGGTTGAGAAAACCTTGGAGCAGGGCTTTGTTTTTCAGCAGGCTTGGCTCTGATTTGGGGGATGAGAGGAAGCGCATAGTCCGAGGTCAACCAGTTGGCATCTGGGTGCCCAGGAGAGGTCTAGAAGCCAGATCTCCCTCTTCTGAATGCCCATTTTTTTACCCTTTTCACCGTGCTCTGTTTCTCTGCATTGTCAGAACAAGTCCATCCAAAGTCCATTCTAAAAATCCGTTCAAAGAAAGGACGAAGGCAAGCAACTCAAACGATCAAGATGGTAGAAGGGGTTCCCCCCCCCCCAAAAAAAAGATGGGACGTTTTATTTTGAGGGGTCGTTGGTGCTCTCTGAGCTTGGTTGTTTTCTTGCAGACGTTTCATTACCCAAAGTAGGTAACATCCTCAGTGCACCGCTCATTTCAACCCTGAGCCACAAATATTCTCCTTTATTGGTACGGTTTGTTCTCCAGCAGACAAGTAATACTGAGCCCTACCAGTGTGTGTGGTATAAAGGTCGATCTGTTTGAGTGGTGAGGGTGCCCAAGTATTGATTATATTATCTTCTGAATGCCAGAAAAAAGAACGGGAGGGGAGGGAAAGGGAGGGAGGGAGGAAGTGAATTTAAACAAAGGATTTTTGACTCAGCACTTCCAAAAAACTCATGCTGACGGTAAAGAATCACCAGACCGTTTACTGTGGTTTTTCCTTCATTCACGAGTTTCTTGCAGAAGTCAATCAGATGGAAGAAATTCACAACAGGAAGTCTGAAGTCCAGATCCATGAAATTCCCTGAAAGAGGGAAGATCTTGATAACACCCCTATCATAGGAGTTGGCCAAACATTTCTTTTAAAATGCTTCCTGTAAAGTCCGATAAGGTGAAATCTTTGACTAAGTTTTTTTAAACCCTTGCTGGTGTTAAGTGTCGCTCATTATCCAAGGAGAAGGGCGGACCCACAGCTCAATAATAAGCTGCAAATCATTGTTTTTTCCCTTGCTGCTCCTCCTTTAATGCCAGAGGACCTGGGTTTTTAATTTCTCCCAGCTAAGCAATGGGGAAGGCAGGGAGTAGGCAGAAATTCCTGGAACCTGTTGCATGAGGAATAGGGAGTGAAAACAACAGGCTCAACCAGGAAATAAAAGGCAGTATATAGTACATATTAAAAAAATGGTTTTGCAGAACTCAGCCTAGGACTAGGTTATGTAGAAGCCAGCATCCTCTCCAAGCTTTAAAGCAGAAGTGTCCAACCTTGGCAACTTTAAGACTTGTGGACTTCAACTCCCAGAATTCCCCAGCCACCCCCATTTCAAAGCATCCCCTTTTGCTTACCTTACTCTAGATGTGTGGGCCCCATTGACTGGCTGTGATGAAAATTGTATTCTGATGCATCTGAATTACATTCTGGTGCAAAGTGCAGAAAACGGATGAGCAATAGTCAGTCAAAGACATTTTAAAAGGAAGTGAATAAAACACTGCAAAATCATAGCAATTATGTACTGTTCTGTTCCACCCTTATAAATTATCCTTCCTTTCACCATGTTCATACACTGATACATATTTATCTATCATCTCTCTCTCCCCCCCCCCACCTATCTCTCTCTCTTATAATTTACTTCCATCATAAACTGTTGTTACTGCACTTAGCAACTAATGTTCGACTCTATATCTGCCATGCAGAACATTCTGTGCATATGTGTGTCAACATTGGGTCGTGGTGACCGCCTGGACTATCCCTGCAATTTTCTTGGCAAGAATTCAGAAATGATTTAATTCAAGCTTATTCACATTTTGGTACCCTTTCTCTAAATCGGGTGTCAAACTGCCAGCCGGTGGGCTGGTTGCATCATGCAGAGGCCGCGCCCAACCCAGCTCCGGCAATGTGAAAAAAAAGTCACAATACATGTCACATGACGTGGCAAGTTTGAGACCCGTGCTCTAAATCAGGGCTTTTCAACCAGTGGTACGGGTACCACCTGTGGTACATTGGCACCTGGCAGGTGGTACGCGACCATCCTAGAAAAGTGGTAGCGGGGGAGGGGAATGAGCTGAAATGGTGGCAGCACCGCACAAGCCTGAGCGAGAGATGGCTGGAGCTGCAGGGCTGTCAGGGCTCAGCGGAAGCACCAGGATCAGTGCCGCTTTCCAGCTGATCGGTGCTTCTTTGGGGCTGTCAGGGATCTGTGAAAGCGCCAGGATCAGCACCAGGCTCCAGCTGGAGCTCGACGCTGATCCTGGCGCTTCTGCTGAGCCCAGAAGAAGCACCAATCAGCTGGAAAGCAGCACTGATCCTGGCACTTCTGCTGAGCCCAGAAGCGCCGATCAGCTGGAATGTTGCAGCATCTCCAGGGTCTTGTGATTTACATTCAGATGCTTGGCAACTGATTCATATTTATGACGGTCACAGTGTCCCAGGGTCATGTGAAGTGACCAAAACCTGCTGCAACCACCCAGTAGACGGGGGGAGTAAGAACCAAACACCCCCCAACCCCACGCCCACTGCCAATCCTCAACAGAAATGCTCACAATAATGAAACCCTCGGACAGGAGGAAGAGTGCCACTGGGTGAGCAGGCAAGTGTCTTGCTCGGCTGTGGCTTGGGAGTACTTTTTTCAGTGCCATTGTAACTTCGAACAGTCACTAAGCGAACTGTTGTAAGTCAAGGACTACCTGTACTTTATCACTTTTTTCCTTTTTTTTTTTTTTTTTGGGTCATCAAGTTTTTGACACCTTTCTAGGCGCCTGGTGGTACTCGGATGTTGCCATATCCTAAATGTGGTACAATGAGTGAAAAGGTTGAAAAGCCCTGCTCTAAATCCACAACCATATACTAAGCTTTCTGTCAGCTGACATTCATTTGTGCTGCCTTTCTGTTTGAATAGGAAACAGCAATGGCATTCCACTAATTGCCAGGCATAGATGCAGTCCTAATGCATATTAAAATAAGTTCTGTAGCTATTCCATATTCTTATTTTAATATTCTCCAGGCGTACGGTTTGTTCCTGCAGTTTTGAATGACCTCCTTCTCAGGCCAAAAAGTGGCCCTTCAATGTACTTTTAAAAAAAGACAGATATAAGGCAAATGATGACTTCTTGGGTTGTGCAGATACTTCCATTTATTTTGTAAATCATGATTTAAGGTTTACATGTACTGGGCACACACAACTAATGGCTAAATAGACAATGGCTGAGCACAGTTTGGCTAACCAAATGGTATAGGTTCTCCTGCTTGAGCAGGGGCTGGACGAGAAGACCTCCAAGGTCCCTTCCACCTCTATTCTATTCTAACCACACAAGGATCTCCCCCCTACTCCAACTTTATTTTTAAATTCAAACTAACGACATTTTTGTAACGGAACCACCTTTCAAATAAACAGTGAAAGGAATTTTATTTCAAAACTAAGCTAGGGTTCTTACCAATTCTGGGCCTAAGGAAGTGAGCAGGGTTCCCTCTCCATATCCATTTATCTTCAGGTAGTCCTTGACTTAAGACCATTTGTTTAACAACCTTCAAAATAACAATGCCACCGGAAAAAAGTGACTTATTTACTTTTCGCATTTCTGAACCGCCCATCTCCCTCAGAGAGGACCTCTCTGGGCAGCGTACAATATAGCATCAAAATATGAAACTACATAAAAATTAAAATGTTAGACTTTTAGGATTAACATTTTAAAAATTGCAAAAGCTTTTCAAGGAGGGAGGCAAGAAAATGTTCAAGGAGGCAGTTTTAACCCTGTTGAAATTAGTGGACAAAGGCAAAAGGAGACTAATGACCACTCCTTGCACTAGTGACCACTTCCTGCCTGAGCAGGGGGTTGGACTAGATGACCTCCAAGGTCCCTTCCAACTTTACTACTACTACTACTACTTCTACTACTACTACTACTACTACTACTACTACTACTACTACTATTATTATTATTATTATTATGACTATTATGGCTATTGCTGTGTCCTGGGGTCCCATGGTCACCATCTGCAGCCTTCCAAGGGGAGTCTTCCAGCAAGCCAAATCAATGTGGGAAATTGGATTTGCTTAACAATTTTGTGATTCATTTAATGACTGCAGCAATTTGCATAACAACTGTAACAGAAAAGATTGTTAAATCTGGTGTGATTCACTTAATAACCACATTGCTTAGTGAGGAAAGTTCCCGTCTCAGTTGTGGTCATAAGTTGAGGACTATCTGTATGTCGGCCTACTTTCCTCTGCAGTTAGAGGAAGTTGGTGTCTGTACTCCCAATTCCAAAGCCCCCTTTCAAACAAAACCTTTGCAGCTAGATTGCTACAAAAGCCACTTTGCATAGCCTCCCTTGGCCCAGCCCATCTTATCAGGGAAAATTCCAGACAGAAAACTCCACCGTTGGGTAAAATGAATCAGCTCTGTTTTTGGCAAAGTCTCACACTTTCACTTCTCTTACTAGAAAAAGAAACTGGCTGAATTCTTGGGGAGGGGTGTGAATCAAAGCATTTGAGGTTTCTTTTTTGTTTTTATTGTCAGCTTCCTTGTCAAAATCTTTCACAATTAGATTTGTGTATTGTATAACCATTAGGCTGTGTGTGTAACAGTTCATACTGGCTGTGGAAGGAGTTTTTCCTGAAAGAAACATCCTAAGACAGGGGTGTTAAACTGCCGGCCCGTGGGCCGGTTTCATCATACCGGAGCCGCACCCACCCCATTGCCAGCAATGGCGAAAAAGCTCCGATACGTCGTGTGACATCACATGAGGAGGAATATTTTAACTCAGGGATGAATTATGGAATCTCTCTGAGCTTGGTGGTTTTCTTGCAGACATTTCATTACCCAATCAGATAACATTACTCTTCTAGCACTGAAGATCTTACCTAGTTGGATAATGAAACACCTGCAAAGGAAACCACCAGCTCAGAAAGCACCAAAAACTCCACAAGACAAAAAGGTCCTGAAGTCATACCTTCCCCATTGCAGCTGCAGAGATCTTGTTGATGAATGAGGTCCATGCTGACTAGTGACAGGCTGAAAGGGAAGAACAACAAAAGACAGGAGAAGTCTAATCTCCTGAAACAATTGGCCAACTCTATTACATCTCCAGACCCCCATCCCAACTTTAAAACCTTGCAGGTGTTGGGCCCCATTTGACTTTCAAGGAGATGGTATTTTACAGGTGGAGCATTTTCGTGACGACAAGATCTATAGCCAAACTGCAACTCTCAGCGAAATGCTTGCCTCTCTTCTAGCAAAATGATTCCCTACAAATACTTCAATTCCCTTCTCCCTTACAAACCTCTTTGCATTTTTAAAACTAGGTCATGTCATGGATTCCCATGGTTACAGAGGATAAGTAGGTGGCTGTACCTGGGGAACTATCCATTTTGCCCTCTGTTAACACTATATTGATGGATGCCACAGCAGGCAGTTTTTCTCTAGCATGTCAGATTTGGTGATAGTGGCAAATATCTGTAACTCAGGTGTAGGATGAGGGTGGAGGTTCATTCTCCAAGTTTGTGGGTTGGTTTCTGAACGTTTCGTTACCAGGCTAGGTAACATCTTTAGCAGAATTTAGGGGGGTGTCAGTGTCGGTATTCTGCTTATAAGGGCTTCATGTGGTCAATAGGTCATGTGATGGAGAGATCATGTCAGATGAGGGCCACATCAGGTGAGGGTCTTGTGATGGGACCCATACCTGACCCATCACAAGACCCTTATCTGACATGACTATTACCTGACATGACCTCCCTATCACAAGACCCTACTGACCACATGAAGTCCTTATAAGCAGAAGAATACCGACACTGACATCCCATTAAATTCCTCTGAAGATGTTACATAGCCTGGTAACGAAACGTTCTGAAACCAACCTTCAGCCTCACGACAGATTTGTCCGGATGCTGATTTTTTTCTCTCCAACCATTTAAAGTTCTTTTGAATGAGCCAGTAGAACATATACTGTACAGTATAAGCAATGAAAAAGAAGTATTTTCTTCATCCCTATCTAACAAAGACAACTGGCTTTTTAGCTTGCTGGCATACCAGGCAGTCAAACCATGAACACCCCATCTTGATGCAAACTTCACTTTCTTGCAGGTGGAGAAGCATTGCACCAGGTTGATCTCCAACTTCCCGAAAGCCGACCGCGTCTCTGTGAGCCTCTACTATGAATCCCTCTGTTCTGGTTGCCGCGAATTTCTGGTACTGATGCTCTTTCCCACTTGGCTGATGCTACATGACATCATGAACGTCACTTTAGTTCCCTACGGGAATGCAGAGGTAGGAGAATATTCCTGGGTCCAGCAGAATGACTGAAAGTTATGGAGATGATTCCTTGCTCAGATTTCTCATCAACTCCATTTATCTTCTTACAGGAGTCTAAAGAGGCTACAAAATGGCATTTTGAGTGCCAGCATGGCAAAGAGGAATGCTTGGGGAACATGATAGAGGTTCGTGCTTGTAGGATAACTGATAAAAGTGAGAATACTGATAGTTGGGGTGTGTGTGTGTGTGGAGGGGATATGGGAATGTCCTCTTGGAGCAGATCAACCTTGCCCAGGTTGCAACTTGGAAAGGGCTTCCTGCATCTCTACAGCAGCATGCTTTAGAGCAGAAACTTGCAGTGTGACGCTGTGTGTGGTGTGTCAGGGGCCACCCTCCCACAGTAAGGGAAGACAAGGCCCATTTGAGGAGGGGATTTCAGGGTGAAATGGAGGCCTTAATTTTCTGCCAAGCTTCAGCAGCCATTTTGCATGTTAAACCTCTACCTGTAGACACCCACAAAAGGTAGGAAAGGGCCCATATTTTTCCCCAAGACTTAACGACCAAGATTGAGCTCAAAATTTCTGCTGCTAAGCGAGACATTTGTTAAGTAAATTTTGTCCATTTTGTGGCCTTTTTTGCCACAGTTGTTAAGTGAGTCTAAGTGTGTTTCTCAACCTTAGCCTCAGCCTTTCAGATGTTGGAATTCAACCCCCAGAATTCCCCAGCAATTTAGTTCTGGGAGTTGAAGTTCACATATCTTAAAGTCGTCCAGGTTGAATTAACACAGCATTGGGAGAGGCAAGAAACGATTGGGGGGGATGAGTAAAAGAAGACCTCATGTCTCGTGTCTTACCTTTTCAGAATTATTAGTTTGTTCAAATGTTGGCCTGTTAACATTAAAGTTTTGACAGTAGGATTTAGAACAGCCTAAACCTGTGGTACGGGCATTCTTCTCTGGATGGTTTTTTTTTCCTTTCTGCACCCTGCTCCCCATCTCTCCTTGTGCTCCACTGCAGGGGTGCTTGAAGGTGTGGTAAAAAAAAGTCAAGATGGCAACCATGGTGATGTAATGGAAGCTCCACCCCTTTTTATGCCTATTGCACAGACCATCTTGATGTAGATGCGTGTGCAGCTGTAAGCCTGACTTTCTGACTATACTCTGTGGACCTAACCCTTGTGCTCTACCTTCCCCAGGCTTGTATTAGCCACCTGTATCCAGAGATTGATTTGGGGCTCATCTTCTGCATGGAGTCAAGTAACGATGTCATCGGCAGCTTGCCACTGGTATGCCATGGTTCTTCCTGCAATTCTGATCTGATGAGTGATGACAGGGAGACATTGGAGGGAGAGATTGTAGAAATAAAGCTGAACGCTCGGTTTTAACTTGGCCAAGGGGCTGTGCCCTGCCAGGGCATAAGGATGGCCATCACCTGTTTAAAAGATCTGAAGCCAGGAATGCTGGATTCTATAAAGAGAATAAATAATAAAATTAAATAAATAAAATATGTAAAAGCTGAATACTACTGAGAAAGCTGAAAAAATCCCAGGAAGCAGGGTGTCCACAGTGCATGTGTGAACTCCACTAGGTAGACCAGTCCAGAAAAATCAATTCTGCTGGGAGACTAACACTAATTTTACAGAGATTGTCTATCATAATATAATCTTGCAAACTTTCCACCTCTCCCTGGTAAGAGAGGTAACTGCCTGAGCCTCTTCCAAATATCATCTCATGGCTCAGGACTTTAAAATATTTCATCTCTTTTAGCCTAGGAAATACGCAAGATGCCTTGCATATTTCTGTCGAGATCATCTTCCTTACTTTCTACAGCGTGGTCAAAGAGGTTTAGATGGTGGCCATGATAGTACAATTGAAGCTCCCAGGTTACAAAATTAACTTCTTTGGGAGCTATATTTCATCCTAGTCCCACTGTTAAGAAAGCTTTTCCGTCCCACTCTTTGAATTCTGCTAATAATCATTTAAATTTTAATTTACACTGGTCCTTGCTTAATGATCGTACGGAATTTGGAACGGAATTTCTGTTACTAAGTGATGCAGTCCTAAAGCGTGATGTCATGTGACTATGCCACTTAGCAATGGCAGTCCCAACAGTCTCTGGTTACAGTCATTAAATGAATCACTGTGGGATGTTAAGCGAGCACCTCCCCTGATTCTGACTTCCGATTTCCTGCCGGCTTCCCCATTAACTTTGCTTGTGGGAAGCCGTCAAGAAAGGTTGCAGATTGCAAACACATGACCATGGAACGTTGTGAGAGCTGGAACTTTGAGGACCGGTTGTAAGTATCCCTTGCTCAGCACCTTTATAAGTTCAAACGGTTGCTGAAAAAGTGGTCATTAACCAAGACCTACCTGAAATATGTTAGATGCGGTCCCCATCTTTTCCTGCTCCACAGACTGGCAGCGGCAGATGGTTTCATGCTTGCCACCTAATTCTGTGCATTCGCAAATGGAGCTTCGCACGCTCGCCTGCCGCTTGCGCAGCCTGGCTCCCAACGGGCCATGGACCTTAGTGGACCGTGGACTTGGGGGTTGGAGACCCCTGCCATAAGTGACCAGCGGGTTGAAATCAAACTGTACATTGCGCAAATATACTAATAATACATAATTTATTGTTAAATTTTTATCCTACTTTTTTTTCCAGGAACTCATAAAGCACTTCTATTCCTTTTTTTTTTTTTTTGCTCATTTCTGTAAGCTAGACGGGTCTGAGCGAGAGCCCATCGGCTTCTATTGCAGCAGGACTTACAAAGGCAATCAAATCCACCTTCATCTTTTAGTGGGTGGGATTAGAGTCTCCACAGATCAACAGGACTGGTTTAATAAAACTGCTCATTCTGGCTTCAAAGTAATAAGGATTGCCCATTCTGTTTCTGCAGTGCCTGAAACTGTATGCTCCCAACGCCTCTCTATCAGATATCAAGGCGTGTGTGAACGGAGACCTAGGTAACAAGCTTATGCATAGGAATGCTGAACTCACCAGGGCTCTGAAACCGCGTCATGAGTATGTGCCATGGATTCTCATCAATGGGGTAAGTGCTAATGGAGGCAGGAGATTATGTGCCCCCCTCACGTCTTCTTGTATTAATCTTAGAAGGGAATAACTGTAGCCCAGGATTGACCTTTGGGGTCCTTGGTGCTCTCTGAGGTTGGTACTGCAGTGGTGATGTTACCTAGCTTGGTAATGAAATGTCTACAAGAAAGCTCAGAGAGAGTTACTTAGCTTATGAGTAAATTTTAGAATACTATTAATAGTTTATTATGGGTAAATTTGTATTATTTTTAGTAATAATGTTTAATTATATTATTATTTTGCTGGTAAAGTGTTAAGATCTATCTATTTTGTAGAGTTAAAGTATGTGTGGATGAGACTTGATTGTAGTATATCTGGGTAATGTTATTTAATTTATGATTCTGTTTTTATAACCCTGTAACCAGCTCTGGGAAGTGGAGGGGGGAGGGGGGGAGGGAAGTGGGATATTGTATGGAAAATTATTTAAAACTTTTAATAAAAAAAAGAAAGAAAGAAAGCTCAGAGAGCACCAAGGACCCCACTGTGTTAATTTTCTAGAAACCACAGATCTCTCAAGCTTTGCAAAAAAAAAAGTTGCCACTAAACCATGATGTAAAAGGAGAGAGCTACATCTCCTTCCAATGTTTTTTTTTCTTTTTACGACTTTGTAATCCCTTGATTCGGGGAGGAGTGGGGATGATTGAATGGCGTTTATTGGACAGGTCCTCTTGCGTTCACAGTAGATATTTTCTCTTTGCGGCTCTGAGAAAGATCTATCGCTGCCTAGGGTTGAACTCTCAACCTTCCAAGTGGGAGGCAAGCGTCTTCACCTCTAGGACACCCTACCCCTCATTTTCTTTGACAAATGAAACTGGGAGCAAACGTTTTGGATGAAACAGTCTCTCCAGTTGTGGTGGCAGTTGATCAAAAGTCACTATTCGAAATTCCAGTACTTAAATTCCTTTCCGTAATAGATTGTCTATAGTAGGAAAAATGATAATGGAAATGATGGAGGGGACCACAAAGATAACAGTTGAGAGATTACAGGTTGTCCTCGACTTACAACCGTAATATAGGAGTTTGATTTTCTTTATTAAGATTCCGATGCAACGATGTCTGGGGTCCAGCCAAGGCAAACTAAGAGCCCTGAGCTCAGGTCAGGGAAAATTATATAGAAACAGAGAGAAAAGGTGCAAATCAATAGTGCATTTTTAATTACATAGTACAGATAGTCCTCAGCTTATGACTACAATTGAGACCGAACGTTCATCGTTAAAACAATATGATTGTTAAGTAGTCATATGATTGTACAACCTTTTTTTCCCTGGTCGTTAAGCGAATCACCTGCTCATTAAACAAATTTAGCTTTTCCCATAGACTTAGCTTTTTGAAAGCCTCCGGGAAAAATCACATATGGTGATCACGTGATCTCATGATGCCGCAACTGTCATAAATGCATGCTGGTTGCCAACTATCCTGCTCATGATCATGTGACCATGAGGACAGTGTAACGGTTGGGCCAGGACTTGTCCTAAAGCCATTTTTTTCAGTACTGTTGTATCTTTGAATAGTTGCTAAGTAAATGGTTATAAGATGAGGACTGTCTATTTAGCAATAACACTTAGACGTATATATCGCTCCATAGTTCTTTATAGACCTTTCTGAGCAGTTTACAGAATCAGCACATTGCCCCCAACAATCAGAGTCCTTATTTTACCGAACTCAGAAGGATGGAAGGCTGAGTCAACCTTGAACCCATCAGGATCGAACTCCTGGCAATGAGTAGAGTCAGCCTGCAATACAGCATTTTAACCACTGTACAACCAGGGCTCCTTTTAGACCAAGGGTAGACAACCTTGGCTCTTTTATGACTCGTGGACTTCAACTCCCAGAATTCCTGAGCCAGCATGGCTCAGCTTGGAAACTCTCCCTTTCCCCTCAGCATGGCTGTCTCAGGAATTCTGGGAGTTGAAGTCTACGAGTCATAAAAGAGCCAAGGTTGCCTACTCCTGTTTTAGACCTCTGAGGCCGGTATTAGTTTTTTCTGTTTCCCTGGCTTTCCCCTTTGAGATGGAAAATTGGGCCTTCGGTTTGCTCCTGACTGAACGTTCAGCTGATTGTGTTTAGAGGCCCTGAATCACGCTCTGCCCCTTAATAGATTTTCTCTTCTTACTTTTTACTTGTTTGCTTCAGTGTCAACTGCGTTGAATTGTAATGTCAGGAAGCATTCTGTGTTCCTTGCTTGTTATTTGGGTTACACAGGTGAAAATACTACATTGATATAAAAACAGAAAGAGAATAATGTTCAAAGTTCTAAACCCCCCACTCAAGTTCGAAGTGTCTCGAGATTGAAACAGGTTGATGTGACCATATTGGATCCGTGTTGATGCTACTCTGATCATTTCCAAATTGCCATGAGGTTGAAAATACCCCTTATGCTTGAAATTGGACTCCTTTGAGCTTGGAATGTGCTATGAATGACTGCTTTGAGCATTTGAACTCAATTCTTAAACATTTTGCACAGTGCTCATACAGGTAGTCCTCGACTTCGACAGTTCATTTTGTGACCGTTGAAAGTTACAGTGGCACTGAAAAAAGTGACCTATGAATGCTTTTCACACTTGCAACCATTGCAACTGGTTCATATTTATGACAGTTGCTGTGTCCGGGAGTCATGTGATCAACTTTTACAATCCTGTGACAAGCAAAGTCAACAGAGAAGTCAAATTCACTTAACAACTGTGTTACTAGCTTGACAGCCCCGGCGATTCATATAACAACTGTGTCATGGTTCCGATCATTGAAACCCTTAGAAGGGAACTCCAGACTTGGTTTAATGTCCTGGTTCCGATAGATGAGACCAGTAAAAGCAGAATTCCAAGGCAAGAGATTTCCTTAAAGAACATATTTATTGGCTACAAAATATTGTCACAGTCAAAAGTGAAACCAAGTCTGGAGTTCCCTCCCAAGCGTTACAATGTTACAAAGTTGAACTTCCCACCCCAGCACTATGCCATTATCCACATTCCTCAATAGAACACTTTAGCGGATTTTCTAAGGGAAGGCTCAGCCCGCCAAAAGTCAGGCAGCAATGACCTTGGTTCCCACGGGACAATTTATTGTTTAGTCTAACCTTAAAACCACTCATCCCCCCTCCCAGTACTGTGGCAATCGAAACCTAAGCAAAAATGGCTTCAGCCAGGATTGTTGCAGTGTTGACATGTGGCAAGGAAGGTTGTAAAATGGGGCAAAATTCACTTAACAAATGTTTCGTTTAGCAGCATACATTTTGGGTTCAATTGTGGTTGTAAGTCAAAGACACCACCTGTATTCAAGTCTCTTGATGAAATCTATTTGCAGAGTTAACCAGACTCACTGATCTACTGCCATGGTGAAAATGTCTCCCTCCACTTTGTTTATTTTTCTCAGACCCACACTGAAAAACTTCAAACCCAAGCACAAGAATCTCTCTTCAATTTGGTGTGCAGCTTGTACAAGGCAAGTATTGCTTTCTTCTGAGAACTATTCCTGCTTGTTTCTCCACTCACCTTGAGTGGATAAAAAGAGGGTTGGGGAGACGTTAATCTAGGAGTTATTCTAGTTTTGCTTATATCGCACAGTTGCTATTAGCATTGTATTATTACTTATTAAATAAAAAATGAATGCATTTATTTATTTAAATTTATTGACTGCCCAGCTCCAGTAGGCGCTGGGTGGTGAACAAAACTAGGGAAAATATAAAACAATCAAAAACATTAAATCAAATAGAGAGCCCATACTAAAATTCAGCCATTTGTCTGAAATGATATAGGCCAGACATGTCAAACACAAGGCCCGGGGGCCGGATGCGGCCCGCAAAGTGGTTTCATGTGGTCCGCGAAGCCATCCTGGAAACAGTGAGGGAACGGCCCCCGCTGCCTTGGCCCTGGCCCAGGCCAGCCGGGAGCCAATGTACAATTTTGTGGTAGCCATCTATGCTGAAACGAATTCAGTCTTAGCTCTACAAGGCCGTCTGGAAACAGCGAGGAACCAGCCCCTGCTGCGTCAGCCCCACCCCCTGGGTGCATGCTGGGGAGATGTCACCCTTTGTGAGGAATGAAGAAATGCACCATCACCTGGAAGTGGCCAGCAAATGGCCCTCGCCTACTTCACACATCCGGCTTGATGGGCTCCGGCCGAGGGGTTTTAGCAGGCAGTGAGGCTTCTCCAGTGGACCATGCCTTGGCACTTGCCCCGGTCCCACCCCCTTCTGCCAGAGACCCTCAGATCTGTCCCACTCCTGCCCAGGCCCCCACAGGCACCCTTGAATCGAACGATGTAGAGCTGGCCATGCCCACCCAATAGGCCACACCCACTCCATCCACACCCACCCAGTAGGCCACACCCACCCTGGCCACACACCCCCGCCCCCCCGAGGGCAACCGCAATGCTGATGCGGCCCTCAATGAAATTGAGTTTGGTACCCCTGATATAGGCTCTCCTGCTTGAGCAGAAGGTTGGATTAGATCAGCGTTCTCCAACCTTTCCAGCTTTGCTGGGGGAGGGGGGAGGGAGAGGGAATGGTTACGTGTGAGCAGTGGGCAAGCGTACGCAGCTCTATTTGTGTGAGGGGCGGGCACATGCACCCGTCGCTCACACAAATGGAGCTGTGCCTGCGCACTCACCCACTGTTTGCGTAAGTGGAGCTGCGAGTGTGCACCTTCTCACCTGCCACTTCCGTGGTCCAATTCCAAACGGGTCAAGGCCCGGTAGTGGGTTGAAGCCAGCGGTTTGGGGACCCCTGGACTAGATGACCTCCAAGGTCCCTTCCAACTCTGCTATTCCATTCTGTTCTAAAATAATCTAATAGAAAGCAAAAACTACAAAACAAAACAGGGGCCATTGGACAAATACTAAATGTATGAAACCTATTTTCTTATTTTGTCTGTTTCTTCTTTACCAGAAGAAGAAACGCCACCATTCCAAATGATAAAGACTCGATCCAACCCTTGGTGTATTTTATGCGATATGGCCGAAAGTCACTCTTCTCCTGGGTGATATAGAAATCTAAAGATCTACTAGATTTAAACCCAGAATAATGTATTTGCCTATTTATTTAATGCTAGTATTAAATAGACAATTTCATTCAGGGTTTAGATCGTACACTGTCTTTTAACTTTGGAGATAGGGCAGGGGTAGGCAACCTTGGCTCTTTTATGACTTGTGGACTTCAACTCCCAGAATTCCTCAGTCAGCATGGCTGGCTCAGGAATTCTGGGAGTTGAAATCCACGAGTCATAAAAGAGCCAAGGTTGCCTACCCCTGAGATAGGGTTTTCTAATTTGCTAAAATGAAATTCTAAGAAGTATTTCAATAGGCAGGGTTTTGCCCCTTGCTTCTGTTTACTGTGTTCTTAAAGTCTTTTGGAGGAAAAAAAAATGAATACACCGTGCAATGAGAAGAAAATGGGAGATCCCCCCAATCTCATAGGCTAGATTTCCGTAACATGTTAAATTAGCTTAAAGTGAAGTTGGGCAGCTGGTGGTTGAGCCTTTTGGGAAACTTAAACAGCTTTCTGAACATGCTGCGTAAAAGCCATGCTTTGAGTTATGTATTTCTGCACAGATTGTTAAATGAATATTGCAGTTTTATGAACATGGGGTTAAGGTATTACTTGTTCTGTAACTACAGCTTCTATTTTTTAATCCTACTTGCCTCATAAAATAATTGTTTTGGGAATAAAATTAGACTAGATAATGGTATGTTTGTGTATGTATCTATGTGTATGTATATATCTTTGAGCTCATGGATCAAAAATGTCGTTTATAATAGAAAACGGGGTAGCAAATGGAGCAGCAGGAAATATTTTTAAAAACTTGTTGCTACTCTTTGAAATCCTTCATGATCTGCTGTGGCCTTGAGCTGAAGGACTGCAACCTCCCTCTTGTGACATCTAACTTCTTTGTGCTTTCTGCAGTTAAATTAGAGCAGAAATTAGTCCAGAGTAGTAAATCAGTGTTAAAAATCTTAGTTAAAAAAAAGAACATGCACATACACAGAGCCAATAGCTAAGAGCTGTAATAACTAAGAGTCAGTATTATTTGGTTGGGATAATCCTTCTTTCTCCTTCTAGCTCTGATTTTTGCCTACTTTTGTGCTTGCAGGGAGATTTGCCAGCTGCCTGCAAAAGGCCAGAAGAACGTTCTTTTCTTTCTTTTTCCCCAAATCACGCTTTCCTGAGGAATGCCGCACCCAACTTGTCCGACCTTCTGGGGAGAGAGAAGACAGTTCATCAGTCTGCCCGAACAAAAGCAAAAGAAACCTTTTAGGATTTTAATCCTACATGTCACATTATCTGTTGAATTTTCCTGCTACAAGGTGGAGCTTAGGTCTGGAATGTGGGGAAGTCAAGGAACAACTGCCTCTTTCAAAGAGGCAGAAGCAAAATCAGGGCCAGATGTTTTGGGAAGAAGAGTGGTGTCTTGATTTTCTTGGTGCTACAAGAATAAACATTTGGAAAAGTAACTTCTGTCATTCTCTAGCAGGAATCACACATTTTAAGTTACTGATTTTAACCTCATTCCTACTTCCTACTGATTGTACCCCCAAAATGGAAATGTTGTCTTTAGAGAAAAAAACAAACAAACCTTCAGAAAGACCAAGTTGGTCTCTTCTTGCCAACATCCAGTCCTGTTGGTGATTTGAGATATGGGAAGCTGCGTCATAACTTGGGAAGGTGGGAGCAGCGTCTTCCTAAGAACCAACCTTGGCATCAGCTCTGTTAATATTCCCAAAGAGTCTGTTTGCTGAATAAAGGTGCATCAAGGTAGCCAACGTAATGTGGTTTACCTTCCAGGAAGGAGCACAAAAACATAATTTGATAGCTGGTCTCTATTCCTGTCTTTGTAATGCGGCTGGTGAGTGATGCTCTTACGATAGAGCGAGTTAAGGGGCAGAGGTTGAGAGATCTCCTGGTCGTGGGAAAAACATCATTCAGATGCTGTCTCTGAAGCAGGCTAGGGATGGGGGAGGAGGTGAGTTTCAACCAAAGGCTGGAATGACAGGTATAGCCATCTGTTGAAACCTGATCTGCAAAGTGGGTGGAAGGTTTCCTGCTCTGCTTAGAAGCTCCCATTCCTTCTGTGGATAAACCTCGGACGATCGCTCTTGTTAGGTCTCTTGTTCCAGTGCTGTCTTTTGCTTGCCTTTTTCAATGGTTCTCACCTTCTCTCTTGCTTTGATACAGGCAATTGCAATGCATGGGCTATTCTGTTTAATATGGCTTTAATATGCCCTAAAACGTACGACAACAATTGAGCCCAAAATGTATGCGAGACACTTGCTAAGTGAATTTTGCCCCATTTTATAACCTTTATGATCTGCCACAATTGCTAAGTGAATCACTACACTTGTTAAGTTAGTAACATGGTTGTTAAGTGAATCTGGAATCAATGGCCTCCCCATTGACTTGGCTTGTCAGAATGTCGCAAAAGCTGATCACTTGATCCCAGGATACTGCAACCGTCATAATTATAAACCAGTAGCCTAGAATCCAAATTTTGATCACATGACTGTGGGGATGCTACAGTGGTCCCAAATGTGAAAATGGCCATAAGTAATTTTTGTCAGTGCCATTGTAATTTTGGATGGTCACTAAATGAACTGTTGTAAGTTGAGGACTACCTGTACTGTATTGATTGTTAAAATAATTCCAGACTAAAACTTCCAGCCAAAGAGGCAGCCTTGTTTTTATATCTATGTAATGAATAATAATGTTGTATTGTTCTCTCACATTCTCCTGCCTTATTCTCTCACGCTAATGTGTATGCTACCACTCTTGGATTCAATTGTTTTTTTTCACTTGATTGTCTTTCACACTTGTCAGTCACTCACATTCACCGATCTGTCTCTTGTAGTAATAATAATAACAATCATCATCATCATCATCGAGTTGGAAGGGACCTTGGAGGTCTTCTAGTCCAACCCCTTTCTCAAGCAGGACAAATGGTTGTCTAGTCTCTTCTTAAAAACTTCCAGTGTTGGAGCTTCCAGTGTTCACAGCTTCTGGAGGCAGGTTGTTCCACTGGTTAATTGTTCTCACTGTCAGGAAGTTTCTCCTTAGTTCTAGGTTGCTTCTCTCCTTGATTAGTTTACATCCGTTGCTTCTTGTCCTGCCTTCAGGCGCTTTGGAAAATAGCTTGACTCCTTCTTCTTTGTGGCAACCCCTGAGATATTGGAACACTGCTATCCTGTCCCCCCTCGTCCTTCTCTTCGTTAAACTAGACATACCCAATTCCAGCAACCGTTCCTTACATGTTTTAGCCTCCAGTCCCCTAATCATCTTTGTTGCTCTTCTCTGTACTCTTTCTAGAGTCTCAACATCTTTTTTACATCATGGTGACCAAAACTGGATGCAGTATTCCAAGTGTGGCCTTACCAAGGCATTGTAAAGTGGTATTAATACTTCACGTGATCTTGATTCTATCCCTCTGTTAAAGCAGCCTAGCACTGTGCTGGTTTTCTTGGCAGCTGCAGCACACTGCTAGCTCATATTTAAATGATTGTCCACTAGGACTCCGAGATCCCTTTCTCTTCCTCTCTCGTTCACTCACTTTCACTCATTTTGCCCCAAAACAGCTAATGGAAGACAGGTGACAGATTGAGATGGCAAATAGTATGCATGATCCACTTTATGAGACACCCATCTAGTGTTTTGCATGAAATCCCTAGAGTTCTATAAATAAAGCCACCACATGTGTTTTGCTGCACAGTCAAATTCTTGGTGCCTAATCAAGCATACTGCCCAAATCAGAATGTCCATTGAAGGAAATCAACAAGTGGAGGGGTTGTGTTGCACCTTCAGCTTATATTATAGACTTATACACTGCTTCATAGTGCTCTGTAAACTGCTTAGAGGGCTGTCTCTAAGCAGTTTACAGAGTCAGACCCAACAATCTGGGTCCACATTTTATCCAGCTCTGAAGGATGGAAGGCTGAGTCAACTTTGAGCTAATCAAACTGCTGAACTGCTGGCAGTCGGCAGTCAGAATTAGCCTGCAGTACTGCATTCTAACCACTGTGCCACCATGGCTCTTTCAGAAGCATCTACAGGGGATGGCAATCAAAAAACAATGTCACAAGTCTAGCCCTTTTTAGAGTTACACTTTCACATTGCACACACACCCTGAAGGGGCAGACCTTGCATGCAGTGTTACAACGCTGCTGCTTTTGTTACGTTGCATCTACATCCTGCAGATGCCCCTGGGTGGCTTAAGGAATGCGTAGTGATTCATTCATTCCCTAAGGCTACGCATTAAATCATAATGTTTACTTATATGTAATTCAATGCCGTCACCTCCTATGATTCTAGGCAGCTCACTGTAAAACTGGAAACAGCATCACATATTAAAACATTGCAACACATTCAATAAATTAAAAAAGACCACGTGGTCTCCCAAATAAATAAAACAATGCTCCCTGACATAAGTGGCTTGTATAAATATGCTGTTGACTGTTTTCTGAAAAGATAAAGAGGGGAAGGGTCACTGGTTGGGGGACCAGTCTTTTCCAAAGCAAAGATAATTCCTCTATGATCCATAAAATAATGCAGAGATAGTTGGTGTTTGGGTAACAAAGCTGTGATTGACATTTGGAGGGGGAGGGATGTGGGCTACTAGTGGGTGTGCCAATCAGTTCAAGTAGGCGGGACATGTCATGTCATGGAGTTGGGGCTGGGAACCAACCAACCTTCCTTCCTTCCTTCGTGAATGGCTTTCAAACAGCTAAATGTAAAGCATTTCCTGGTAGCTTCCACATATGTTCTGTTTTTTCTCTATGTGCTATAGGGATTCCTGGACACCAAAAAGATAGACAGGGTTTGGGGAAAAGAAACACAGAATAAAAAAGGGGGGCAATGGGTGCCTTGCCCCTTTTCTACTTGCATTGCACCTAAGCAAACTGCAGAGCTTTGATTGTGCAGTTATGACTTCTGTCTTGACTTTTTTGACCCCCACAAAGATGCCCCTACTAGGTCTTCACTGTAAAATCTTGTGAGAGAAGATGGAGCTTGTTACACGCCTTTTGACTGCTGTTTAGCTTCTCCTGGATGAGTGAAGCATATTTCTGGCCTGATTGATAAGGAGACTTGTAAGATGCCAGGAAAAGGACCAGGACTACTATGGAATAATAATAATAATAATAATAATAATAATAATAATAATAATAATAATAATAATAATAATAATAATAATAATAATAATAATAATAATAATAANCTAGTCCAACCCCCTGCTCAGGCAGGAAACCCTATACCATTTCAGACAAATGGCTGTCCAGTCTCTTCTTAAAAACTTCCAGTGTTGGAGGATTCACCGCTTCTGGAGGCAGGTTGTTCCACTGGTTAATTGTTCTAACTGTCAGGAAGTTTCTCCTTAGTTCTAGGTTGCGTCTCTCCTTGATTAGTTTCCATCCGTTCCTTCTTGTCCTGCCTTCAGGCGCTTTGGAGAATAGCTTGACTCCCTCTTCTTTGTGGCAACCCCTGAGATTTTGGAACACTGCTATCATGTCCCCCCTTGTCCTTCTCTTCATTAGACTAGACATACCCAATTCCAGCAGCCGTTCCTTATATGCTTTAGCCTCCAGTCCCCTAATCATCTTTGTTGCTCTTTTCTGTACTCTTTCTAGAGTCTCAGCATCTTTTTTACATCGTGGTGACCAAAACTGGATGCAGTATTCCAAGTGTGGCCTTACCAAGGCATTGTAAAGTGGTATTAATACGTCATGTGATCTTGATTATTTCCCTCTGTTAATGCAGCCTAGCACTGTGTTGGCTTTTTTGGCAGCTGCAGCACACTGCTGGCTCATATTTAAATGAAGGGGAATGTACCAGACCATACATCATGATCAATATGAAGCAAGGGCTAAACTTTGGAAAGAAACTTGTTAAGCCAGTTTCATTTTTAAACAATTTAAGACTGCAGTGCCACTGCTTCTAGATTTTGTGCTTGCGACAGAAAAAAAATTAAACTCTGACTTTGGGATTTGCTGACTACATATGTTTATTGTTACAGAAATGGCTAGTATATACTAAGAAAGCAAAAATAAAAAGTTGAGGCTGTCATATTATTACCTTTATTCGACTGTGCTGAAAAGAATTGGAAGTGAATCCCTTTTTCCCCCCTGCTTTTCCCTTTACCTCGCACAATTCTCTTCCCCTTTTCTCCCTTCCCCACCTTCCCACAATCTTTATTTGCACTTGTATTTTATATTGTGATAAGCTTAATAAAATTACATGTGTAAAAAACCCCTCTTCCTTTCAATTTGCCTTATGCAGTTTCTTTGTGCTGCCAGAAAGGGGCAGTCGTGGAATGCTTTTGACAAATGAATCTGGCTTTCTGAAGCATTGAGAATTCCTGCAGGAGAAAAGGCAAGGGAGCCGTATAGAGACTCTGGAAAGAGTGCAGAGAAGAACAACAAAGATGATTGGGGGATTGGAGGCTAAAACATATGAAGAAGGGTTGCAGGAA